CCCTCCTCCTCTCTCTCTCTCTCTCTCTCTCTCTCTTCCTTTCTCTCGTCGATTCTCTCGCGGTCTCTTCTTGTTTGAGAAAGGGTGGAAAGGATCGGTCACTTTAATTCGTAAAAAGAAGAAGGGGGAGGAGGGGGAGAAACGGGACGGGAGTGGAGGAGGACACGAGAGATGCAGAAGAAATTGTCGAGCGAGGCTTTTCGGGTGCTTGGTGCTTCTACTTCGCTGCGGATATTTAGAGAAAGCAGCGAAGGCCCTTCGAGGTAAAAAGGTCGACAACGACCTCTGTTTAAAAATATCACTGGAGACTGGTGCTTGTTCCAGCTTGGGGCGGTTTACACGGAGCCAATTACTTTCACAGATGCACCCGTTACTTCTGTTTCATTCGGCACACATCTAGAAGCTACGAGTTACGCCTCGACCATCTCAAGATACACCTTTTGTATTTCCAATAACGTCGAAATTCGATAATAATAACAACGGAGAAGAAAATCGTGTCGCTCCTTTTTTACTTACTATACGCGAACTTATATGCCTTTTTATTGAGAAAAAAAAAAAAAAAAAGAAAAGAAAGCAAGAATAAAAATAAAAACAGAGGAGAGTTTCCAGCTCGTATCACTTACGCTTCGAAACGTAAAAAAGGAAAAGAAAAGGAGAGGCACGATATAATCTAAGACTCGATCTCTTAACACGAGGTTCGTATAAATTAAATCGGGGCGAGTCGGAATTAAGAAAATTATACGGAAGAATCGGAATAATTAGAAAATTTAGAAAAACGAATGGAACTCACCCTAACGTAGTCATAGTGACGATCGTGTACCAGAACGCGGCAGGTATCGAGGTGAAGTTCGTCCCATCGACGTTCTTCTCAGCGTAGAACATCACGGTGGCGAATATGATGATCGCCATGGCGAGGGAGAAGACGAGGAAACCGAGCTCCGAGGCGCACGATTTCAACGTGTAACCGAGGATCCTGAGCCCCTGCGAGTGCCTCGAGAACTTGAAGATCCGGAACACACGGAAGACGCGCAACGTAACGAATGCACCGGATACGTCGTCGTTGTCGGTGATACCGAGACCGATGTAGTACGGGAGGATTGCGACCACGTCTATGATGGACATGACGGATCGCGCGAACTTGCACCGGCTCGGAGCCGCGAACAGCCTCAACAGATATTCCGCGGTGAATATCATAACGCACGCGGTGTCCAGGCAGAAGAATACGATCTTGTAACGCTCGCCGCATGAAAGCGTGCCGGCGCGTCCCGGACGATTACCGCACGGCACGGTCTCGACCACGTTCGCCAACACGCTCACGGCGATGAAGAATCCTGTTACATAATAAAATACCAAAGCCGCCGTCGAGATGTGTGGATTCTGGAATGCCCTCCACATCTTTTGCCTGATGTCCGGCAACTGCTGAAGAGTTTGATCCCCGTTCTCGCTCAGCTTGTCGTCCATCAAACGCTCCGCGTTCTCCCGTTTCCGGTCCCGATAATCCTCGTAACAGCAATCGCCGATCACGTCCGGCAATATACCGAAGAACGCCAACTCCTCGTCGTAGCTTGTCAGGCATTCGTGCTTCGGATAATGAAGCTTGCCGGTTCTATAATAGTTCAATATGTGGCGGAATATGTCTGGATCACGGTCGAAGAAGTACTCTTTGCTCTCCTCGTCGTAAAAGAACTCGCGCTCGTTCGAGCCGAGAAGAGTGTCCGGATACTTCTCGAGGGTGTTCCGCCAAGTCTCGAAGCGACGGCCGCTCACGTTTATCAATAATTTCTCGTCGTCGGCCTTGCGACGATCCTTGGGGATCGGCGGCGGTGGCAGTGGATGTGTAGCGATCGGCACCCAACCAATCGCCGCCGCACGAGCGAATGGCAGCCATGCTGCCACCGAGGCCATGCTCGAAGGTGGAATAGTTTTCTTCCTTCCCTAAATTTTTCTACTCTCCTTCCTCTCTCTCTCTCTCTCTCCTTTTTCCCCGTTCCTCTTTCTCTATTTTCTCTTGTTATTATTATTATTATTATTATTATTATTGTTATTATTGTTATTATTATTACTACTACTTCGCTCCTATTACCTTCCTTTCTTCCCCGTACCTTTCTCAATGTTCTTCAGTCTCTTCCATTCATCGTCGTCGTTCCAATCCAACAATCGATACGATATACGAGTTACGTTCTTCGATCACTGTCGTATCGATCGATGTGTGCGATCTTCCTCCTGTTCGCGCTCTACCTCACCTCGATCACGCATTCACGCGTTTTGCCCCCTTTTGTTCTCGATGTTGTTCGACTCACCCGCGCGAGCTCCGTTTATTCGACGCCTCGAGGAACCAGTAATCCGGCTAAAACTCGAGGTGCCTGGGGGTATCCCCGAAGGAGAGGCGGCTGTTGCCGGCTGTTCTTTCTCGACGAATAGGGAAATCCCTCCCCCGAAATGCCGTTTCTCGTTCTACGGATCGTTCGATCGTTAAAAATGTCCTCGACAATCTCGTAGCGGTCTCCGCTCGAGACCCGTCGCCATTCGAACGATCTGGTCCGTCTGTATTAGCTGGTCGTGCAACAGCGTTCCCACCAGCTACGCGTCGACCGCGACGACCACGACGACCACGACGCCGACGACGACCACGACGACGTCGGCAACGACACCGCGATCCTAAGATCGTCGACGACCACCAACTCCGTCATCGTACCACGGCATTCCTTCGCTTTTTTAAGCTATTGTTTACTTATTGCCACTTGACTCGCGATATTAGCAATAACGGCAACAGCCCCTAGCAATGAGTCGCGAGCACCACGGCAACCAATCGTCTTCTGGCAGCTTGCCCTTCACCATCATCGATACGTTTCCTCGTACCTCGTCTCTCTCTCTCTCTCTCTCTCTCTCTCTCTCTCTCTCTTCCTCCCCCTCTCTTCTTCCTGCCTCTCACGATCAAACACTCGATCGAGATCGAGCTTCGAGATCTTCCACCTGTTCTTCCTCCTCTTCTTCCTCCTCTTGTCTCCCTCTCTGTCCAACCGTGTTGCAACCGTGTCGAGTCGGGCAACTGGCCTACGCCAACCAAAGAGTATCCTCGAGAATCGTCGAGATGCACGATCCTGCTACATCGTCGAGGAATATAATAGAAAGAGACCGATCCTTTCCATTCACTCGCAACAACTGGTATCGAGGCACAGCCGCGTACTCATTTTTTTCGAACGAATCACGCGGCGATCCACGAATCCCGATGATATTTCGATTTATTCACGGCTATTTTTTCGCGACACGGAATTCTGTCGGATTTGCTCGCGTGATCGATCCTTTCCTAAGATAAATCGCCGTTGTATACTATCCTCTTCGTTGATCAATCCTTGTCGATCCGAGTCGTTGTCGTTTTCTTCTTTTCCCGGAAGAGAACGAAGCTGGTGGTGATGGTGGTGGTGGTGCTGCTGTTGCTACTACTTTCGTCTCTCCTTTTTCGCCAAGAGTTTCGTCTCGCCAAGAACGAACGTTTCGCTATGGTTTTCGATCGGATTCAAGAGGAGAATATTTTCAACGACGAACGTTCGACGAACGAGAGTTTCAACGTTCAAGGAACGAGAGGTCGAAATATATTTTCGCGGTTTCCTCTTCGACGTGGCTCGCGAGCATCGTCCGCGAAACGTTGAACGAGCAGTGAGTGGCCGTGGTGCTGATTCAGCCTGTATCGTTCTTGGCACGCGCAAGCTTTTTTTACTCGCTCGAGGCCTGTCGCGGATCACACAGCACGCAAGGACCACGCTGATTCCGTTCGTCGACGTAACACGACGTCAGAGAGCGGGGAGGCACACGAGTTAAAAGCTTCACCGGTCGCGCAGATGTTTTCCACGACGCACAGCTCTCGCGATAGACGGCACGTCGCATGCGTCACACCGTGGACTCGTTCCTCGTGACACCACAACTCTGAACAGAGAGCACAGCCTTTCGATTTAACGTTCCATCGTTCGACATCCAGCCGTCATTTCATCAATCGCCACATTTGGATTGATCGATCGATCCGTCGATCTTCTCACGAACCCCGTTCCATGACTCGATCGAACGGAAAAAACCGGAAAGCTTGGAGAAGCTTGCCTCCTCGACTCGTCCAACAAATCCACTAATTATCCTTCGATGAAAATTCACGACTCGCTTCTCCCCTCGAACCTTTGATCCTCTCTTTCGCCCGCGATATCCTCTCCGATCGACACCTCACCTCTGCCAACAATTTACGAATGGGAGGAAGATCAGGAAGCCGGCGCTCCCGCGACCCTCCTCGTTCGACCGGAACAATCCGGCCCCGAGAACCTTCTCTCTCTCCTCCGTGTGTTTACAAGCGTTCCACGCAGCACAGTTGCTCCAACTCCCTTGTTGTGCTACGCGTCGTCCCCTCGCGTCGTTTCATTTCGCGTCCTTGCGCACAAAAACTCGATCGGTTCACCACGTTCTCGCACGATCCGAGGGAGGAAAAAAAAACGTTGGCTTCACCGATGACTTCACCGATGCTCGTCACCGTGACACCGTGAAACCTCCTCCTCCTCCTCGTGGATCATTGTCCTCCTTGTGAATGCGTAGGAAAACGTATCGAAAAGTATCGAGAAGAGAGGGAGAGAGGGGGGGAGGAGAGAGAGAGAATGTGTGTGTCTATGTGTGTATGTGTGTATGCGTATATGTGTATGCGTGTGTGTGCGTGTGTGTGTGCGGCTGGTCGGCCGCGTGCGACGAATGGAAGGGTGCGCGTCAGCGAACACGCTCGCCTGGCAGACGCGTTCTCTACCGTCTGGCGTACCCGCTCGGTTGACGACTCGCGACTGAGCTGCTGCTCGCGGTGCGGTATCGGTCAGGCGGTCGGTCGGTCGGTCGGTCGGTCGGTCGGTCGGTCGGTCGGTCGGTCGCCTAGCTATCTATCCAGCTAGCTAGCTCGCTCACTCGTTCGTTCGTTCGTTCGTTCGTTCCCTCGCTCGCTCGGTGGCGAGGTAACCGGCAGCTCCGGAAGGGAAGCGTGGTGCTCTCGAGGCTCGAGCCACCGGAGCAGCCGCGACGCAGCGCCGAGCGAACGGTCACCTAGCCAAGGTCCAAATTGATTTTTACGTCGCGGCGGCGGTGGCGACGCACGACGGTGTCCCGACGCGAACCGCTTCCCCGTTGCCCGGGCAACCCTCAACTATGACGTCATTCCTCCCTCTACCTACCCTCTACGCCATCTTCAACCCCCCTCCCCTTCCATATTCCGCTCCCCTGCCTTCGTCGCCGCTCACCGTTTCCCATCGTCTATCTCGCTTCATCCATCCTTCGATCCCCGCATACCTTCCTCGTCTATCGGTCCCGCTTTCGCTCGATTTTCCTTACCTGTCTTTCCCACCCTCCCGCACTCTTTTCCCCCAAACTCTTCGTTATCTGTTCATTCGTTTGATTCCATCGCCATCTCCGTTCCTTACCTCTCCTCGCGTGCTCGTCGCGCGTTGGAATATACGTCGCTTCTACCCTGTTATTGAATTTGAATGTAGGTTTATGGGGCTACACTGACTGCTGCTGCTGCTACTACTACTACTACTACTACTACTACTAGTACTACTCATTCGCGCGACTATCGCTTAATTATTCCTCGATTTTAATTTGCCTTTCGAGAAAACTTCGCTCCTATCGTCGTCTTCTTCTTTTCTATTCCTTCTATCGCGTTCAAGTTTAATCGAAGTTCTTTCTCTCAGATTTCTCCATCTTCGTGGTGGTCGACGCGTGTATTCAAACGCACACCACCACGATCACGCTATCTGTGCCCGTGCATCTTCATTTAATCATCCACTAGCTTATTTTTCCTCCGTCCAATTCACCACGTGCATAAAATCTTCCCGCTCCAACTAATTGCACGTTAACCCCCTCCCCCCCCCTCCTCCATCCCCCTCCTCTTCTTAAATAACATTTTATTTTCACACAACCGTGCTCGTTCGTGCCTCGTCTCTTCCGGTTCTCCTTAAGAGTCCAGAATTCCACGTTACCAACCTCTTGCTCTCCTCCTCCCTTCCTCCTGGGAGGATCTCTCGTTTCCCGTTTGTCGTTACTTTCCCCGATTTCTGCTGAAGATGGCATTCCCCCTCTCTCCATCTCCTCCGCTGTTTTTAAACAGCCCTCCTGTTTTATTTCGTCACGCTTCGTGACATTGCCACGCTCAACTCCAATTTTTCACACCAAAGTTTTTATCTCCTAACTTCCTCTAGTTTTCCTTCCGGATTTCCCTTATCTGATCGTTTGATCCATGCATTTCCGGTTCTTGTACGATTTATTATTACCCTTGTTATTGCATTAATTCAAAACATTCAAAATATCGAAATGGACGAGATTCGTATCCTATCGCCGTTTCCTTTCGCCGATTCGAAGCGAATATTCTGAATGTACGTTACACCTAGACAGCTGATAACCAACTTGACCCGAATATGTAAATACACGGGATATATTTGCGACGATTAGCCTGGCAATTCTTACAACGCTCTTCGAATATTCATTTATTCCAACAGGTCGTGTTTCGTGTTGCGAGATGTGACGTGATCATTGTTCTATCGTGCGATGCTTAATTTATGTATGAAATTACTCGGGCAAAACCCATGTTATTTTCTCTCACACGCGCTATTTATTTCGTATATCGTATTATTCGTTGTTTCGAACTTTCCCCGTGAATGAAATATAAAACGGTCAACCAACAAGCTAAAATCGTAACTAATAAATTTGCGTCACAAGGTAACAACAGGTTCAACGACAAAGCGCAAATAATCATACTGGGAAACAAGATATTAATTTAAAATTCAAAAAGAAGCGGATGAAAAGGGTTGAGCGTCGAAAAGGAAGAGAGAGAGAGAGAGGGCGAGGCAAGGTTTGTCGTGAACGTCCTGAACCCTACTTCGGATAGGGCCAAGACGTAACGAGCGGGCCAGTGTGTGCGTGTGTGCGCGCTTCGCCGCCAGGTAAACTGACGACCCTAATGAACGTGCGAAAGAGTGCAACCTCAAAACGCAAGTGCATGTCCTCCAGCGCAAGGTGTAACGTCCGCTTAAGTGGAGCTATCTTCCGCTTTGCCCCTTCCAATCCCTTTTAATCTCCGTTTAATTCGTCCGCCCGCGTGAAAAGCCAAATCCTCGCGAAATTTTCTAGAAAAGGGAAATGTGCACGATCGAATTCCAGATCAGGAGAAAGAAAGTTTTAAAAAAGTTGAATTCGAAGAAAGAAATGTACAAACTGTATATTTTTTATCCTCCTCCTTTGATTTATCCGAAAAGTTTCATCGAGATCCGAAGAGTGATCCTCGTCCCAGTAAATAAAGTTTTGTCCATCATTTACGTCGACCTCTTGGCCCGTTTTCAACGCTTGCACCAAAAAATGGTCGAAGCAAGCAATTTCGGCCGTTGTTGCCATCTCAGCTAATTCCATCTTCTTAATTTCTGTTCAATTTCTGTTCCCAGATCAAGAATCGAAGTTTCGATGGCGAAGCAAGCAAATGCTGTCGGATAATAGGTTGAAAGTTTGCCACCACCGCCGATTCCTGCCACTCCTGCGAAGCTTTTAATCGGATTTCAAGTTTCCTCTTGAAAGAAACAACAATTCCCTTTCTCGGCACATATAACATATCGTGCTTTTATCCACTCGTGGCAATGTGGGATCGAAATAGGAATCGATAGGATGTAACGACAAATGAATTAAATTTATCTAAAAAAAAATTCATTCTTATGTATCGCTTTTAATCGATAGAACCTTGAAATTTCCAAATCTCGAAACTCACCTTCTAATGGAATGACTATTGATTATTATTGTCACTATTGATCAGTTGCGAATTTGAAATTTGAAAAATTTCAGAAATTAAAATTTATTAAAATTCAGTTTTTAAAAAAAAAAGCAATTAATATAAAAAAAAAAAAAAAAGAAGAAAATAAAGGAACGATTTCGAGTGTTTCGAAATTTCGCAGTTTTTGATTCGAATTTTCATGAATTAAATTTCAACCATCTCTTGTTAAATATTTGATAAGAATATTTTAGAAAAAAACGGAAGACTGAATTCTAGAAAAAATTTTTATATAGGAATGAATATTTTGTCGAGGAGAATAGATAAATAAAAATGATAAAAAAAGAGGGAAAGAGAAAAATAGAGGGTAAAAAAGAAATAAGAGTAGAGAGAAAAAGAGAGATAAACTCGGAATCGTCGACCATTGCTAATTCAAGTTTGTTTTAAGCTCTCGTTCCTCTATCTCGGTTTTTAAGGAACACTTCACAATCCAACCTTAGCGTCCTTATCCTTTCTCTGTATAAATATCTCGGGGAAAAAACGATCTTTATGACACCATTCACGATTAAAATTCTTTTCTTTGCGGATAAGAAAGTAGAGATAAGAAAAGAAAAGGAACGAGCCGAGATAAAATCGGTCGCGTGTGCCTATATCGAACGATTCCTCTTAAAAATTATCTTCCACGAGAGCGTGAAATTAATCCTTGAAGATTGCCTCGACCAAGGCAAAAAATTGTCTTTTTTTATCAAGAATTCAGGAATATTGGAATATTTCAAGAATATTCCAATATTAAACATTTTAATTGATCATAAAAAAAAAACTTATCTATTTATAAAATAGAATTTGTTTAAAAAAATAATAAAAGAATGAATTCGTTTGGATAAAATTTGCATGCAATGAGTAACAATAAACGGATGGGAAAAATGGAAAAAAAATTTCGTAGAAGATGAAATAGAAAAAAAAAAAAGGTGTCGACTCACCGATGGAAGATTGGAAACGTCGAGAGGTAATGATTTGGTTTATCGCGTGGATTATTCTTCATAAAAGAGATGGGTTTACTATTATCTTCAATTTTCAGTATCTGCTCGTCTAAAAAATATACAAAAGAAAAAAAAATATGAAACAAAGGAAATGGGAGAAATAAAAAGAAATATCGAACAAAAGCATTAAACTCGCTTTTGTGAAACTTCTTGACAATATTCCAGTATTCTTTGCTTTTAATCTCGGAATACGGTTCAACTGAATTACATTACCTAATAAGAACTCGAAACAACTTGCAAGCAGGCTAATTTCCAAATATAAAATTTTTACTTGTTTATATATATAGCATGCCTCTCATTATTCCTCGTATGTTTTCGTTTCTCTTTCGTTTTAAATCGAATTCTTGTGAACAGAGATTAATTGATAACATCGAAAAACATATGCTCATAATCCAAGATATAAACCTAAACCTTGTGTTTCCCTTCCCTCGAATGCATTCATCTGTTAAAATATTCTAAATTGATAGACAAAAATTGAATGAAATAACTTGTACGAAACTCTGTTACATTCGTGACCCTGCTTGGATTTTTTTCTTTCATCGACATGCCACTTATTTCTATCATTTCTATCATTTAGTTTTTTTTCGAGATGAAGAATAAATAATGAATATTATTTAGAGATTATTCATAAGAATGATCTTTATTATTTGAAATGTTTCTTAAACATTTTTCACGTTTTCGCCAGCATTGTTATTAGTTAAATCAACACGAGCGTCTTTTGTACCAATTTCACATTTTTTTTTAAAGATTCTCAATAGATTCTTCAAGAGATCGACACTCTTTTCCATCAATTCCATTCTTTCCAATAAATTCTTCAGAAAGTGCATGCAAGATTATCTCTCATTCCTTAATACTTCCTGCTTCGAATTCTGTTCTTGAGATACAGAAATATTAGTTGGCATGATTTTGAAATATCTATGCTTCGTAAGAATCAAAATGATTTTTATATAATTTGAATGAATGCACATTCTATTTAACATTTTATAAAAAAAACATACGTATTCGTTATCGCAAAAATAATACATGCATAAATTATGATATTTAGAGACATGCAATCCTCTACTTATTATAGTATTATAGTATATCAATAGAAATTATAATATATCAATAAAATGAAAAACTCAAAACCGATCATTGATTAGTAAACAAAATCGTTCAATATTCTAGATATTCTGAAGTCACGGGAAGTCACGGAAACAGAAAAAAAAGTAAAATTGAAGAAATCGATGAACGAGGAAAAACAGAAATACAATATTTTACATGCCAGAAGCTTTCTTTAATTCTGGCAAAATGAAATTTTACGGATTTGTATACAATGAATGAGCACGGGCATCCAAATTTCTAACGTAAATTTAGTCTTCCTAAATTTGTGAAACCTTGATGCTCTTGAAATACACGGAATTTACGGAGGATGTCATTTAAAACAAGAAAGATAGATAAGGAAAGAAAGATAGAAGAAAATAATCAATACAACTTGTGGCAATATAAGATTGAAAATTGACAATGAAATAAACTTGGAAGTTTCTTTCTCAAAAAAAAAAAAAAAATTCGTACAAGATTCAAAAGAAAGTAAAAAAGAACGTAATAAATGCTAAAAAATATCGAAACATGATTCTTTTTAATCAACAAGTCTAAGACTTAAATGATTAAAAAGTTTTAATCGATTAAGATGCAAACATTACATCAATTTTATGTGCATAAAATATCTTTTTAACGGTGAAGATTGACAAATAAATCGATAGTAAATGCATAGGAGAAATATGAATTTTTTTAAAATTCATGATACACGACGATCGATGAATACGTGTTGTTAACTAGTAGTTTTTTCATACATTTGAGAAATATGTATATTGTAAACATTTATTATCTTTCTCTATAATTATTTGAGGATAACTTCTTAGAATTAATAATGAAAGATAAAAGCCGAGCTTCAAATTTTAATTAAAAATCGATGAAAATTCAACAAACGAAATTATAGTTGTAATACAAATATAAAAAGACATGCTTAAAGAAATAAGACTAAAACTAAGAAAATAATAAGCAATGATAAGAAAAAAAGAAGAGAATGTCAAAAATGTGATAAACAGGTGTTCGAAAAATTTGACCAGTTTGAATTCAGCGACGATGACAGAAATCATGTCATTATTATTTCAGACAGCATTTGATCCATATCCCAGATCTTACACGTAACATCGACGTCTCTGTGTGTGTTCCTATTAATAACATTATACAATTATGTACGTACGAATGTATAAAATTCTTTTGTTTGTTCATTTTATGACTAATACGGGAATGTACGATCCGTTCTTTGTTGCAGCGTCTTCGGAACGCTAAATAGATCATTGAAATATCGTTACGACGATTTTCTTATAAATATGACAGTGCAAAATCTATCGAGAACGAACTCGTCGAGATCGAACAATCTAACCTAAATGATCTGTTTCTTTCTTCCTGTCTTCTTTTCAATTTCTTTATATGCAATGTATCAATTGCCGAAGGAACATGAACTCGTCGAATTCGCACTCGACCATAAGTAATTTCAATCATTACTTATGGGAATGTTCCTCGTTATATTTCCGATTAACGAATAAAATAAAATAAACAAACAAATTTATTCATATAGTGGATCGCATTGTCGATCGGTTGTCCGTTAATTTTTTCAATCTTTTCTTTTTTTTTTTTTTTTTTTGTTCTGACGATCCTTACAAACAATCGCCGAAAGATGTATAGTTACATTAGATCGTGAGATAATTACACACAGTATGGCACACCTACACCTGTGTGAATTTGTCGCTATTCGAATGGATTTCGAATCGGACTACATTCGCACTAATAGACGAAGAAGGTTTTGCACGCTGGAAAATCAATTAATGCTAACATGCTAATCATGAAACAATATTCTTCATTTCAACAAAGATCGCATTTGTTACGTTAAGCGTCATGGAACAATTCTTTTACCTTTCGATAGTTACTATTATACATTATTAAAAACAAGTAACTACATCACAGTTCTAATGGCTCAGTCATTTGATGTGTTGATGCGTCATATTATCGAATTTCATTTCATTTCAAAACAGTAACAACGATCGTCAGAACTCTTTATCCATGCAGATACATCATAAAAATCATTATGTATATAATAATTTAAAATGATGATTTTTATTTAAAAAAGGAAGAAAAAGATTGTAGTTCGGAGTAACGCAGCAGGTACAAGAGCAAAATGGTTGAATAGTTTGACGATCGGTTACACGCCCAATGAGTATTCTAATATTCTAAAATTGAGAAATAAAATAAAATGTTTATAAATACCTTTTATAAATACAGACGAAAGCTGATACACAAAATACAAACGCGATTAAAAACACGGACCTTCGTCTATTATTCAATTATTTTTCAAATACATTATGCATCGCGTAAAAAAAGATAAAAGCGATTTGTGTAAACTCACGGTCATGGCGACCACTGGATAATCTCGAAAGTATCGATAATCGATTTTCGCGATTCTCATTATAAACTTTTCATAGCTTACAATCTTATAATCTTATGTACACGTTCGCTTTATGAAACTTGGAAAAATGTCTGTGAGAATCTAAGTATTATTCTTAGCATTTAGTATTCCCATGATCTGTTATAATCCGGAAATCTTCAAAATTTATCTTAATAATTAGAACCATATCAATATCCTTACAATCTTCTTGACATAAACGCTTATTCACTGCACATCTTGAAAAAATTGCAAATACATGTAACGCTTTTCAATTTCTTCATTTTTTTTTTTTGCTCGTTTTTCTTTTTCATTCAGACGGAATGGATATATTATGCATTGTATCACCAACGAGCTTAAGTAGCTCTATTAAATCAATTAAAAATGGATATATTGTGCACTGTATCACCAATAAGTTTAATTAGATCTATTAAATCAAATTAAGTATTATGAAATATTGATTTGAAAAAAAATTCATCAATATATAGAAATATATTAATATATTAG